CATGCCCATGTTCATGCCCTATAATTCACGTCCTGAGGAATATTCGTCAGCTCCTGTAGCCTGGGTGAGTGGCAGAGTAGCTGTCCACAAACCACTACACTATAAAATCCACTTTTACCTCATTGTTCCATGAAGGGATTGAGGGTACGAACTAGTACGACCCTACTTAGATTTAAGTTGAGGTGCTTTATAAGATTTCTCATTCTCTCACCGAAAGACTGTCTCTCTGCCCTAGAATCGAGCACTGCTTTTTATGTAAGAAATTCAGGGTTTCTCTGGAGTCTATAATGATAGATAAGATTTATATAGTTACGGTGAAAGTCTAAGAGTGGTTTTCCACTATCTGCGTATAAAGATAATACTGGCGATGAACGAAACGCACCATTACATATTTTCAGTGCTTCATTGTGGATAGAGTTTAGTAGCTGGAGAACGTTGGGAGAAACTGAAACATAAGCTTCACATCCATTGCGAAGCTTCCTTCTTATCAGTGCTCGATAAAGTCTAAGAAGTGTTGCATGGTCCCCATCCGGTGAGAGAGCACACGTAAAATAGCTGCTTAATGCGTGGTAATCATGTCAGCCTTGGGTCAAATGTCACTCCTAAGAATTTTACTTGGTTGACAAATGTGATCAAGAAGGGAATGTGTAAATGTGGAGAAGAGGCAAAGGTAAGAAGTAGGGATAGTGGGATATTTAGTTTGGTGAGGGAAAGTTGGTGGAATCGAGCATAGCATCGGAGAGACAGAAGGGTACCGCGTCGAGAGAGAGACGGCATCCCTGATTCAGTGTATAGGCTCTCAACTGGAGAGGAACGGAATGCACCTAGGGTTAAGCGAAGACTCGTCACGACCATTTAGAGTCAAAAATAACACCAAGGAATTTGCCTGAAGAACGGTATTTGAGTTGAACGCCATATAAAGAGAGTGGAAGTTGGGGACCTACATGATGAGAAAAGGATGAAGAAAAATTTGGAGGTTAAATAGCGAAAGCCATGTTAGTGGCCCAGGATACTGATGGCATTGCAGACTGAAGGAATTGGCAGAGATTTGGTAGGAATTAGGCAAAGATAGTTAAATTATCAACATATAGTGATGACCGGGTCCCTGGTGATAGAACTGATACAATATCATTAACAGCAAGAAGGATCAGGTGGCGCTGAGTATACTGTCTTGCGTCCCATCTCATCTTCGAACTGAGGAGAGGACGATGATGTGGAAGAGGCAATTTTGACCTGGAAAGTGCGCTTGGAGAGGAAAGACTTTATAAAGACATCCACGTTTCCACGTATGACTAGGGAGGATAATTGCTAGAGAATATGGTACCGCCATGTGGTAACATGCTTTTTCTAGGTCAAAGTATGTGGCTAATGAATTCCTAATCCCCCACGTTGGTGGATTGATAGAGCCGACTGGCGTACTTCACTTCACTGTCTACTATTCCTTCCCCTCCATTCCCCTTCTCGTCCAGTTCAGAAATGCTACAATGTTTCAGAGTTGCACTCCTAAGAGCTACCTATACAGTTATTCCTCAAACCTTAAGACCTTGGCGTACAAATGCAGGTGTAATATGTCTCGAAATGAGCAAAGGGGTCAGCTGTACTTCGGGCATGGCGGATACCAGACTGGGAAGGAGAGAGAAGATTGTGAGATTCAAGATACCACATTTAGCAGAAGTTAACCATTCGCTTTAGAATTTTACACAAGCAGCTAGTTAGAGCGATGGGGCGGGGACCTGATTTGTTGGGTTTCAGGAAGGGGAGGATAAGAACTTCTCGCCATTGAGAAGGAATTTTCCTGTCGTCCATATGTGGTTGAAAATATTTAATAGATTAGAGAGGAAGATGGGAGTTGCCGGAGCATACGGTAGTGAATACCGTAAGGCCTTCATGAGTGTTGCGACACGACTGTAAGGCTGCATTGAGTTCAGAGGAAGAAAAAGGAGCATTATAGGACTCAGCGGAGGATGGGGTGAAGGTAATGGGGGTACGTTCTCTGGTGGTCTTGATAGAAGAGAAGTGTGGAGAAAGGTGAGAACCATTACTGACCTGGCTGAAATAAACACCCAGTTCATTAGCGACTTGGAGAGGATCAGAGATGAGGGTATCTCGAATATGGAGGACGGGGGCTGGATGAGGGGGGAGGATGTTTGCCTGATAGTTTATGGATTCGGTGCCAAACATTTGAGATAGATGTAGAGGATGTAATTGAGGAAACAATTTCGCCAGCCAATTATTTTGCTGTTCCGGATTGTATGACGAAGACAGGCTGATGCTCTTTTAAAGGAGATAAGGACCGATAGTTGATTAGGGTGCTTCGTTTGTAGCGATAACTGTTCTACGCTGCGCGTTCTAAGTGAAGCACTTTAGCGCAATCAGAATTCCACCATGGAACACATTTGGAGGTACAAGGTCTTAAGGTTCGAGGAATAACTGTATAGGTAGCAATTAGGACTGTAACTGTGAAACATTGTAGCATTTCTGAATAGTAGTAGACAGGAATAGTAGACAGTGAAGTGAAGTACGCCAGTCGGCTCTATCAATCCACCAGCATGGGGGATTAGGAAGTGGTACATATGAAGTAGGAGTAAGGAGGACTGGAAAGTGGTAACTATAGGGAAAGTGATCTAGAATTGACCAATGAGAGAGAATAGAGAGAAGGGGAGCATAGAGCCAAGGCATGAAAAAGATTGTGTGAGTATGTTAGTGTGTAGGGCGATCTGAATTAAAAGTACTAACGTCAGTTGTGGAGAGGAAGCGTTCCAGGGACCGGTCACGGGAGGTAGTAATAGAATCACCCCAAAGAGTGTGGCGCCACTTGAAATCACCAACTCCGAGGAACAAAGGCAACAAAGAAAAATGCGAGTAACTGTGCAAGGGACAGTAGTTGAAAGGGAGGTGTGACATAAGGTGTTTTCAGATGGATAAGTATAGACGAGGCAGAAAGAGAGTGTGGGGAAGAGAGAAAATGGTAATTGGGAACTGGAATAGGAGGACGTGTAAGAAAAGTCTCTTGGAGACTTGGTTATAAGAAGAAAGGATATGACGAAGTTCAGGTCTGTGAGAACGGAAACTGCTAATATTCCAATGTAGGAGAGCTATTGCTAAGTTGATCTACGAGTGATAACGGTTACAGTGTGTATTGGGAGAATTTGAAGGGGAAGGAGGTATGGGGTAAGACAAGGATTGAGAGGGGAGAGATGGAGGACCTGGGGAAGAGCATAGTTGTGAAATAAGGGATTCACGTGTGTATCCCAGGGGGAGTGGAAGGGATACAGGGGATGGAGGGAGGGTTAATGTAGGTGGAGCTGGAGCTAGGGAGGGTGGGCTGTGATGAGAGGGAGTAGGAGGAAGGGCTGTAGGAGGAAGGGGTGTAGGAGGAAGGGGTGTAGGAGGAAGGGGTGTAGGAGGAATTATGAACAGGAGGAGGGTGGATATCGGCAGTTACTTTGAGTGTGGAGGAAGCGAGAGTTGTTGAATTTGAGGGTGGATGAGCGGTTTCGGTGTCAGTTGGGATTCAAGTAGATAGTTTTGTGACAAAGGTTTTCTTATGAGGGGGGAAGAGGAGACTGGTGTTTGAGGAGTAGAAGCAAAGGTAGGTGGAGGTGAGTGTGTAGTAGGAGATGGGGTGGAACATTTGGTATGTCTGCTGCAGGCAGTGCGGGAAGGGAGAAGGGAAGGTGTTGGGGCTGTAGTAGAGATTGGAGTGTCTGGATTTAGAGTGGCAAAAGAATTTGATTTGACTGAGTAAGGCAGGAGGCAGAAGCAAGATGGAAGAGGGATAGGTTTAGGGGAGGGTGTTGGAGCTTGGGAGGTAGGGGGAGTGAGCGACATTTCTGGAGTAGGGAGTGAGAGAGAAACCTCGTCGACGTGCTTCCTGTCTGAGACCAAGTGAGACCAATTCTGAATGAGAGTTGCCACCTCACTCATATTTGTAGGTGGGGCAGCCCCTATAAAATACATTATGGGGGCCGCCACACATGGCACATGTGTGTGACTGTGCAAAGCAGTTTGATCGACTACGACCAGTTTGGGCACAGATTGGGCATCGGGTTTTTTAAATTTTGGCACCGACGGGGAGGAGGTTGATATGGTCAGACAGGGAGGATTCACCATCAATGTAAACATTAAAGGGAAGGTCATGTCTACGGAAAGTAATTTTGCCAATGTTAGTGGGGTTCTTACAATGACCTTTGGGAGGAATGGAGTAGCACTGTACTGATATCGCATCACAGTCTTTAAGACAGGCGAGTAAGTCTTCTTCACAGTCTGGCCAATTTTTGTTATAAATAGGGCAGTTTGCTAGGGAGATAGACAGTTCCAGTACAAGTATTGAGGGTTGGGTGAGGTTCTGCAGGAATGGGGTTGCCAGAGAGATCAGTTAGAGTTGATAATGCTATAGCTTGTTTTTTAAATGTGACTGTGATGAGACATTGCTGGAAGAGAAGTGTTGCCAGAGTAAGGAGCTATGAATGGTTAATGGTTAATGGTTAAAAGCAAGATAAATGTGCTAGACATCTAAGGTCATGTAGCACTATAGTTAATGTTAGTGAAGGGTGGTTGAGTTAGTGATTAGTTGTCTAAGCTGGGCAAAGGAATTAGTGAGTGAAAGGGTTAAGGTCAGGTGTTATATTAGATAAAGGGTATGCATAAGAAAGGTTTCTTGAAGGCATACAATAGATGGGTTATAAGAGGAAAGGATATGATGGTCAGGTCTGTGGGAGCGGAAACCGCGAATATTCCAATGAAGGATAGTTATACTTTCGTTGATTTAGTGATATAGATTGTAGTACGTGTTGGAGAATTTGAAGGGGAAGCAGCTAGAGGGTGGGATAAGGACTGAGAGGTTTGAGATGGGAGAGGTGTGGGAGTTGGTGTTCTATCAGGAGGGGTAGTAGGAGATGGAGGGTCTGAGGAAGGGGATACTTGTGACATAAGGGATTC